TATAGAACAACAAAAAATTCCAGGTAAGACGATTGAGAGTGGTAGAGCTGCTGCTCACAACTGTAAACAGGATGATAAAAGTAGGCTTCATTGAGAAAATGGCATTTGAGCAAAAGCTTGGAGGTGAGAAAGTTGGCCATCGGCGCTTCAAGGGGAAGAAATTTCTAGGCAGAGGGAACATCCAGTGCAAAGGTTCTAAGGAGGATACTATCCGGTGTGTTCAAGGAACAGCAAAGAAGGCTGTCTGGATATAGCTAAGTATACAAGTACAGTAGTCAAGGCATTGAGATTGGGAGGTATCAGGCAGTGGAGATACTAGCTAGGTCATGTGGAGTTTGTAAGCTATTGTGAAGACTTTGGCTTTTATTTGAAGTGTGAAGGCAAGACTTTTGAGATTGTTGAGCAGAAGTGTGACATAACCCACTTTTAAAAGGGTCACTCTGGACACTGTACTGACAACAAATTATAGGACACAAAGCTAAAAGCAAGAGAACACTTAAGAGGCTATTTTAATAATTCAAGGAGAGACGATAAAACTTAGTGAGTGTGTAGTAATACAGGTGGTGAAGAATTCTGGATATTTTCAGAAGGTAGGAACAAAGAGATTTCATGATTGGATGATGAGTGAGAAGAAAAAGACTAGTCTGTGATGAACCCAGGTTTCTTGGCTTAAACAACTGGAAGGATTTCTTTCCTTGTTTCAACTAGAATGTATTTTAAAAATATTTTTGTAAAAGTTATTTATATATAAATAATTTAAATCCATCTATGTCATATACATTACAAAAGTTTTTTCAGTTTAATTTTGTTAATTCTGTTTGTGACACACAGTTTTAATTTTGTATATTTATAGGCAACCGTAATATTTTCCTTTCAGTTTTCTGTCTTGGCTTTCATTATTGTGCAAATATAAACATTTGCCTAGATTTTCTTCCATTTTTTTTGTTTACCAGTATACATTTATTACTTTACCATATCTAAAATTAATCTTGATATAATGCATATCGAAGTCTTTTTCACTTGCCATTTATTCCAGCATCATTTTCTGTAATGTTATTCTTATCTACAAAATTCTATTTTGGAATTTTCCATTTATTCCATTATATTCTTCCTCAAGTATCAAATATCTTTATTGTTGTTTTGGAATATTACTGTTTCATAAAGCTGTAAACATTGCATTCATTATTCAGACCATTTGGCTCATCTTATTATTTGTAATTCCAAATTGGTTAGGAAGAACCATGCAATATCTGCCTTAGATTTTGACTGGAGTCATGTGAATCTTCTAGGTGCATTTAACAAGAGTTGCTATTGCTACAACATTGAATCTTCTACTCCCTTGATAATTTTTTGAATATTTGCAGAGTTCTCTTCATCATCAAAGTTTTAAAATAAAATTTATAAGAATGGGCCTAAATGTTTGCTTTTTTAGTTCTTTTAGTTCCCGGTTTTCAGTTCATCCTTTCCATTTGAGATCTGTGTCTTCTTTTCCTCAGTTGAAGGGGAATTTTTTTCATTACGTCTGCAGTTAGTTCTTCTGTTGTGTCTCCTCTTCAGCAACATTAGGTATCCACAATATTGCATTTCAGTTATTTCACCCTAAGACCCTATTTTCTCTACTTTTGTATCTCCTTATTCCATAAGTTATCAATAAATATATTTTCTACATTATTGGTCAAATCTATTATTTACTACTTTGATGTTGATACCAAATAACTTTAGTTTTTTTTTTTTTTTTTTTTAACTCAGTCAACCTTCTTTTAACTGCAATCAGTTGTCCCATCATCTCACTCTTCACCAGTTCTTATATGGATTTTTGTTTTCTTAAATACCATTGAGAACACTGAGCAATGCTTTATGGAACTTTCTTCTGTTTCCTGTTATAAATCTTTTAAAAAGTCAACTTTATTTCTAAATCTTGATTGTTATGCTTTTTCTTCTTGCATTTCTATGCTGCATTAGGCCTCATTTTGTTGTTGTTTTGTTGTGTTTTTCCTGTTCACTTCTGCTTAAATGATGAAAGTGGCAGCTGACCTGGCATTTGCCCATGTACACAGAGGGTGGATTATCCTTGGTTCTTTTTACTGTCCACATGAATGGAACTAAATTTCTCTTTCTCATCTTGAGCTTACAGGTTGTTTTATATGCAAATATTTTAGCTAAATTTCTGATGTCTGGCCAAGATTTACAATGTGTGCCGCCTCTGGACTGAGAAGGAAATTCTCTTGTATTTATGATACCATAGAGAGAAAACTTTATCCCTGGATAATATAAATTCTTTACATTTAAATCCCAGGAAGAAAGCATGCACTGTAACTTCTAGACATCTCTATTTATACTCCAACTTTACATTTAGAAGGTTTTAATAAGGCAACTAGGGAACAACAACCCCTGTTACAATGATGCAAAACTCCTGGCCCCTTTACAGCCTAGCCTTAGTAGACTACAAATATAATTTCCATTCTTATGTGTAGTGGAGGCTTTGTATCTTCAAAATAATAGTCAGGGCTTGGGGGGCTAGGGAAGGGATAGCATTAGGAGAAATACCTAAGGTAGATGACAGGTTGATGGGTGCAGCAAACCACCATCGTATGTGTATACCTATGTAACAAACCTGCACGTTCTGCATGTGTATCCCAGAACTTAAATTATAATTAAAAAATAGAACAAATTGAAACAACATTGAATAAATAAATGAATACATAAACTAACCTAAAGGAAATAAGCAAAAATATCAGCATATTAGGTCAATGGTTTAATTATAGATTATAATAATTGTGCATTATATAAGTATAGTTATAGATTATAGATAATAGATTTTATATATATATATATATATATGGTTGTTTTTTTTTTTCTTTTTTTTGTGAGACCATGTCCTGCTCTGTTGCTCAGGCTAGAGTGCAGTGGCACAATTATGGCTCACTGCAGCCTCGACCTCCAGGCTCAAGTGATTTTCCCACCTCAGCTTCCTTAGCAGCTGGGACTACAGAAACACACACCATCATGCATAGCTAATTTTTAAAATTTTTTGTAGAGATGGGATTTTGCATTGTTGCCCAGGTTGGTCTCAAACTCCTGGCTTCAAGTGATCCTCCCAACTTGGCCTCCGAAAATGCTGGGATTACAGGTATGAGCCACCATGCTTGGCCAATTTACATACTTATAATTTAAATTTTATATTTATACTATAATTAGTATATTAACTTACACTTATATTTGATATATATTTTAATATCTATCAACTCAATTATTTGCATTATCTGTCCTAAGAAGTACCTTCTTGACATCAAGTTCCCTAAGATGTGAATTTTAATCAGCATGCTACTTGAATTTTTATCAGAATCATAGAGTAAAAATTGCTCTGTAAGAGTGTTTTATAGAAACTCTAGAAAAATCCAGCAAAATATGCCTACTCCACAACCGTATATGCTGTTCTAATGACCAGATAATGGAGTCCCAAAATACAGTAGCCCTTTACCATTAAAAGTATGAGATGTTTTGGAAAAGAGAGAGTGATGAGAAGCAATAATAATAATAATAATAACAAATACTGAGATTAGTTGAAGATTGAAAATCTTACAGCTCTGGTCCTTCAAGGCATGATCCCTCCCCACTATGTACTTTCATAGGGAATGATGTTGCTAATGTTCCTGTCGAAAATGTTCAGATATTTTGGTGTTTTTGTAAGTATCTCAATCAAAGGCATGGAACAATACAATTACTCCTAGATTTTTGCCATTTTAGTGACATCTGATTTACTGACTTTTCAGTAACTAAATAATATCACACCAAAAGTTATAAAATGACTTCCCAACTCTCTTCTATTGATACAGGCCTCATCTAAATGTATATTATTATCATTTATTATTTTTATTTTTACTCTCCACAGGTTCTTGTGTACTATGTTCAACATTGACAAGAAGATAACTGGGAAATAAATATATATAAATACAGGAACATAAAGAGAAATAAAGAGGAAGCACCACAGTCAACTAAAAAAGAGAGATTCCCAACAATCTACACACCCATTTCTGTAGGCTCTCAGCTGATGCTTACTGTTTGGACAACTCATACATGCAGATTGACAGATGACCAACTTATAAAAGAGATTTTTAATAGTTTTTAATGATTTCACAGGGTGTTGTCAATGGAAATATAGATTTTTCTACAGCAAACATGTACATCTATACCATGTGGAACAAGGATAGTGGGAAAACCTCTGTAAGGATGTAGAACTGAGAAGAGCATATTAAATGTGATAAGAAAAACACTTCTAGAGCATATCGCCTTCAAGAAAATGGTGCCCAGTCAGGATTGTGTTACATTTTAATAGGAATGGAGATATTTGTGATATACTGACAAACCAAGACATGTGACTATAAAACGGCAATGTAAAGTGTCAGCTTCTCCTCGCGCTGTTATAGTAAACATCTGAGAACCTCACTCCTGTCAGTGTATTCTTGGGGTTGAATCTCAAGTGATCCATAGGATCTTAGATACAGCAGATTAAAGTGGGCTTTTCTGTCTTCCTAAGTAAACAGCAATGAAGTTGAGAGAAAGAAGATATTGCTGGAAGTCACGATAAAGTCTATCTTCTGTCACCATATGTTTTCTCAGAGAGTTTTAGACATTGACCCTCATCTAAAAAATTGTGGAAAAGGACTCTCACCACTCTGTTAATATGTATGTATATGAAAGAAATTACTGGTAAACTTCTGAGGCAGGCATAGGTGTTACTTGTTTTTTATCTTTATTGTGTCTATGAAATGATTGTATGTGTTTCTTCTTTAATTAGACAATGAGATTCCCAAATAAATTTTATTAAAGCCAAAAAAAACCTTTAAACCTTTTTGAGATTCTAATATTTATGTAAAATATAGTCTGAAATACACAATAAACAGATATTTGAATACATGAATTCTTAAACCATTACTTAACAAAGCAATATTTTCAAGTTTAAAAGATAACACGTTGAAATCAAAATTTAATTTTCTTACCTTTCTGGATATGTAAGTGATTTTAACATGAGACTCTGGATCTTGTATGTGCATGTGGAACACTCCATATTTGAGCTCTGGAAATACGTCAAACCAATGCTTGAAATATTTGCAAAGTCATTGTAAAATTGAGCAAGAATCTTGATTTCTTGAAGTTTACAAAGTGGTTTGTTCTTTCTAGAGAGAAAATTTGATACACTTAGCATATTAATAATTTGAAACATAATCCAATTCTAAAATCAATATAATCCTAATAAGGGAGGCCACAGAGAACAATACTATGGGGAGAAGGCCAAACAAAATATTATTGGATATTTATTAAAATAATTAAAACTAATTTATAACAGAACAAAATAATAAATGCAAAATAATAATAAATGCATTCCCTCATAGAACTATTTTGAAAACGCTTCTTTTGGGAAAAAGTGACATGTCTTTCTGAGTAGATGTCTAGATTGTACATTTGACTAGAATTAGAGAAGTCATCCTATATGTGTTTTTTAGACCCTTTAACAACTATCGTAGTTCCTTAAATAGACTAGATGATTAAAAGATAACTTAAAAATATTTTATCAAATATTTTTAATCTAGAACAATAACTTATAAAGGCCTGAGATTCAAAACAGAAATACAGTGTTTAATAAGTACAATTTTCTGTGCATTTACAATATAATTAAGCTTTACAAACTTAACCTCATTTAACTACCTGAAAGACTCTTTTATTAGGTACTATGAGTATTACCATTTTACAGATAAGAAAACAACATCAGAGCATATAAAAGTCTTTCCCAAAGCCACACAGCTAATAATGCTCCTCACTGCTCTGCTCAATTTCTCCTCCCTATGTGCCAGAAATGTGGGTCCCTGGACTCATTTATCTCAATATGGGCTTTCGTGACCCCAAGAGGAACTCCAGCTACTCTATTGCACTTTTTCTCACTAGACAAAACTGATGGCAAAGGGGAGAAAAAGAAGGAGAAGGAGGAAGGAGAGGTGTAGGAGGAGGAGATGAAGGAATAGGAAGAAAAGAAGGTGGAGGTGGAGGAGAAGAAGGAGGAGAAAGGGAAGGGACTAAAGAAGAGGACAGAAGTGAAGGAAACAAAAGTTCTTTTAAAAATCAGTTTAAGGAAGTTTCTCTTTTGAGTCAAGAACAACTTGGTTAATCAAAGGTGACAATCACACAGAGAACAGCTGAAGAGCAACCAGTGGGGCACCCAGCACTCCCTGCCATCTCATATTTTTTTCTGCTCTCTTTTTGATTCCTTGCAGTAGCTAGACACCAAAAAGAGGACATGATCATTCTGCTCAAAGTCCATCTCTGCTACCTCCTGGCAGGGTTACCACTTTCTATTTCACAGACTACAATGTCATTAGATGTATCACTAATGTCTTTCCATGAACGTACTTAAATTTTTCAGAGATAATTCAAATTCAGCATATCCAGACAGGAATGTGTTATCTTCCCATACAAACTCACACCCACACCAGTGGTTTCAATTACCAACCGTTTGCTCATGACTACAAAATCTCTACATTCAGCTAAGGCCTGTATGCTAAGAAGTTACATGTATCCACTGTCATTCACCATGTCCATTTGGATATCATAAGGATGCCTGAAGTTCACTAGGTTCAAATCTAAATGACTTATCTTCTCCAACACTTTCTCCAACAAAAAAACAAAAACAAAAACAAACAAACAAAAAACCCTAAAACTAAAACTTACATTGTCTCAGAGTATTAAATGGCACCACCACCTATTACCCAAGTCAAATAAATAGGATTCACCCTTGATAGCACCCTTCTTTCAACCTCCACATTCAATCTATCAGAAATTTCTATTGACTTTACCTCTGAAATATCAAAACTGATTTGAATCCCTCATTTTTCCATTTCAACGATAAACCTTCAAGCCCAGCACACCATTGTGTCATGTCTATATTCCTGCAACAGCATCTTGCTTTGTATCTCTCCAATCCACTGTGGTTAAATTGTTTTTCCAAAAGAAAAATCCAACTGTGGCCTCAACCTGACCACCACAACTAAAATACTTCAGTGGTTTTCATGTGCCCAGTGAACAAAATATAAATTCTGGAACATGGCCTATGAGTTCTAATTTCTATGATATATCTAAGTGTTCTTTAGATTTCTCCTTTCTCTCTTGCTTTCCCAGTCTCTATTCTATTCTTTTTTTTTTTTTTTTTTTTTTTTTTTTTTTGAGATGGAGTCTCGCTCTGTCACCCAGGCTGGAGTGCAGTGGCGCAAACTCGGCTCACTGCAACTCCCAGGTTCAAGCGATTCTCCTGCCTCAGCGCCTGAGCAGCTGGGACTACAGGTGCGTCCCACCACACCCAGCTAATTTTTGTATTTTTAGTAGAGACAGGGTTTCACCATATTGGCCAGGATGGCCTCAAACTCCTGACCTTGTGATCTACCCACTTTGGACTACCACAGTGCTGAGGTTACAAGCGTGAGCCACCACGCCTGGCCCCAACCTCTATTCTTAAACATACTAAAAACATACTAAATGGCCTTCAGCTCCTGAAGTTGGTCATGCTTCTCTACGCTTCAGATTTTCTGTATTTATTGGTCCTTCTGCCTGGAATGCAGAAGGGCAATGACTCCTGTTCACCATTTAGGACTCGACCAATATAAGCATCAATAGAGAAACTTTTAGTCACCCCACTAATTTACATCCCCTATTTAAATTTTCTATATACACTATGATTTATGTCAAGACTTTTTTCATGAACAGATTTTACTTATATAATTTTATAATTATTTGACTATCCTTATATGTCTCATTATGCTACGGGCTTAATGAAGGTAAGACTATGACTGATTTTCTCACCACAGTATCCCCAGCAATTCACACAGTGCCTGGCTCAGTGTAGATGCTCATTAAAAATTCTTTGAATAGTAGAATGATGGGCATCATTGTTTTATTTTTATTATTATTTAAAAATCTATCTGCTACAGACATCTAATTTATATAACAGCAGACATCTAATTTGTCCAGAATTGTATCCCCTATTCCTAGCACAGATCCTGGTCTATAGAAGAACTCAATAATTTGTAATGAATGGATTAAATTGGATTCTCTCCATGTACCTTTTAGCTCAGTACAGAATAGCATTATACTTTTTAAATAGTCACAAAGCTCAAAACTTGAAGTCACTCTAGATTGGTTTCTTTCCTTAATGTTCACTTATTCAATTAACCATGCAAACACACAACACGTCTGTTCTACAGCCCCAAAACCTCTAGAATCCCCCTTAGCCTGTTTTTTTATTCCCACTGACTTGGATCCAGGCTCACATTATCTTTCATATGAATTATCAAAGTAACTACTTCTGTAGCCTCCTATCTCATGTCTTGTTCCCTCTAATCTCTGCATTACTCATATGTCTGAGCCTGAGAATATCCAATATTAATATTTCCCATTTAGCATCCTATATTGGCATATTAATATGCCTGGCCCAATGAATCATTAGTATCACAGAAAAAATAACATTCAGTATAAAAATCAGGATGCAGAACACATTTCAATCAGATCCTAATTTTGCTAAATAAAAAAATAATGTGTCTACACATAGGGGCATGTACAAGAAGGAGGAAGGGGAAAAATGATTATAAACCAAATGCAAAGTGTAGGTATTCCTGGATGGTATAATTATAGGTGATTCCTATTTTATATAATATTATACATTTTCTACAGTGAGTAAATATTCCTGTTTCCATTTTACCAAGGAAAATAAAAGATCATTTAAACTTCTTTGACTCCTGTGGCATCTTAAAGACAATTTAAATCCCAAAACATAATTAAATGTATACTCATGTGCTGCATAATGATGTTTTTGTAAACAAAAGACTTAATATATGATAGCGGTCCCATAAGATTATGACACTATATTTTCACTGTACCTTTTCCTATGCTTAGACAAATATGTACCATTGTGTTATAATTCCTATAGACAAATATGTACCATTGTGTTATAATTGCTTCCAGTATTCAATACTGTAGCATGCTGTACAGGTTTGTAACTTATTGCTTCTAGGTTATAAACCTATACTACACTCCATATAGCCTACATGTGTAGCAGGCTATACCATCTAAGTTTGTGTAAATACACTCTATAATGTCCAAGCAATGACAAACTTGCCTAACCATGCATTCCTCAGAGATATTCCCATTGTTAAATGATGAATGACTGTATTAGCAAATAAATATTAACAGAAAAACAGTAAACCCATTAGCCAAGAATAGGTGGACAGATTATAACACATGTGTATATGTTCCCATATTTTACATTCCTTCATGACAATGCACTAATCCAAGTATCTGAATAAAATTAATCACTATTTCATGCTGTTCCACATAGAATATAATGTTTGTAAATTAACCCAAGACCAACAGTTTCTTTGCCTTCTGAACAAATTTGAAACATCTGTTCTAGGCCTGTGTTCATGTGCAATTTTTGAATTTAGATACTGTACTAGGCTGTTCTCATGTGGCTATGGAGAAATACCAAAGATTTGATAATTTATGAAGAAAAGAGGTTTAACTGACTCAACAGTTCTGCATTGCTGGAGAGGCCTCAGGAAACTTACAAACATGGCGGAAGGGAAAGCAACATGACCTACTTTGTATGGTGGCAAGAGAGAGAAGAATGAGAATCGAGCAAATAGAGAAGCCCCATATAAAACCATCAGATCTCTTGAGAACTTACTCACTATCAAGAGAATAATATGGGGGAAACCACCCCTGTGATTCAATCAGGATTCCACCTGGTCCCGCCCTTGACACATGGGGATTATTACAATTCAAGGTGAGATTTGGGTAGGAACACAGAGCTATACCATATCATTCCACCATGGTCTTCCCAAATCTCATTTTCTCACATTTCAAAACACAATTATGCCCTTCTGACAGTCCCCCAAAGTCTTAACTCATTCCAATATTAACCCAAAAGTCCAAGTCCAAAGTCTCATTTGAGACAAGGTTAGTCCCTTCCACCTATGAGCCTGTAAAATCAAAAGCAAGTTAGTTATTTCCTAGATACAATGGGGGTACAAGCATTGGGTAAATACACCCATTCCAAATGAAAGCAATTGGCCAAAACAAAGGGGCTACAGGCCCCATCCAAGTCTGAAATCCAATAGGACAGTCATTAAACCTTAAAGTTCCAAAATGATCCCCTTTAACTCACGTCTCACATCCAGGACACACTGATGCAACAGGTGAGCTCGCATGGCCTTGGGCAGCTCCACCCCATGGCTTTGCAGGGTACAGCCCCTCTTCCAGCTGCTTTCATGACTAGCGTTGGGTGTCTGCAGGTTTTCCAGGTGCACAGTGCAAGCTGTCAGTGGATCTACCAATCTGGAGTCTGGAGGAATGCAGCCCTTTTTTCACAGCTCCATGAGGCAGTGCCCCAGTGGGAACTCTGTATAGGGCTCCAATCCCACATTTCCCTTCCACACTGCCCTAGCAGAGGTTCTCCATGAGGGCTCTGCCCCTGCACCAGATTTCTGCTTGGAACTCCAGGCATTTCCACACATCCTCTGAAATCTAGGTGGAGGTTCTCAAACCCTAATTCTTGTCTTCTGCAACCTACAGGACCAACGAGAATAGTATGGGAGAAACCACTCCCATGATTCAATTATCTCAACCTGGTCCAATCCTTGACACATGGGGATTACTACAATTCAAGGTGAGATTTGCGAGGGGACAAACAGCCAAACTATATCAGGTACTCTGATATCTCTAGGTTTTTGTTACATCCTTTCTGTTCCCTGACTGTATTGGCTTGCTTTCAAATACTTCCTTGATTCTTCTCTGTGCTCCAACAGTACATCAAGTGATCTTCTTTTATAAAACATTTTACTAAATGCTGCAATTATGCATGAGTCTCCAGTATTCTGTGACTTTCTTGGGAACAAAATGCTGTCTGTATCAGTTTGGATTCTCATTATTTTGAGAAACACCTGAATAAGTTTGATGCTGAATAACTTGAATAAGTAATTGAATCAATTTAATAGCCAAAAATCAAGTTTTTGATAAGAACAAACAATAGATATTGTGTGAATGTATATGTATATACATACTTAAATACAATTGTAAGCAATTTAGAGTAATGAACAATTATGGAATAATGTCAGTTATTATTTTAAAACATTCAGTGTTCAAAATTAGGTGAAAAGGGCCAAAAAGTTTCTCTCAATAAAAGATGGGTCTTGATGAAAGTCAAGAATTTGGATTGGAATTTTTGTTTAATTTATTTTATCTTCTTTGGGTGACTGAAGGTTAGTTTAAAAAGGGAAAGGAAAACGGATAATTGTTACTCTTTCACTACCAGTTCTATACAACTGTTAAATCATCTGCAATGTCTTTATTAACTTTAAGAAAATTACATTTACACAATCTAATATTAAACATATGTTTATCCAAAATTTTAAAAATTTTGCAGGACTTGTAACCCAGGATATTATTGCTAAGGATAATCATGGCATCCCATGATGGAATGGTCTTTATGTTACTTCAGTACACAGGTATTTTATATTTTCGTTATGGTGAACTTATCATTAGTTTTTTTGTGGATTCCAACGTTTGAAAGGTTTACCTACTGTTACGAGCTATGGCTACTTTTTATATTTTAATATCGTTTCAGATTTTACCTGTGCTAATAATACTGTAACATTAAATATTTTCACTGCCATTGTTGGTGAATGTGCAAATAAATAAGTAGTCAGGGACTTTCTCCTGGCTCACAGAGTTTGGATGTCACTGTATTCTCAAGGTCCAAAGTCCATCACACAATAATTTAGTTATTTAGCTAATTCATGCACTGTAACTACCTATACTGTGACAGCAGTAAATGTTGGAAATACCAACCATGCTTCCTGAAATCCTAATGTGTTCAATAACCAGTCAAAACTTCAGCCAAATTGCTCTATCCACAAGAAAATACACTTTGATATTTCTTTTAATCACTAGATATGGTGCCTGTGAGCCTTTTGAAAATCATTTCATTGTTTAATGGCTAGTTAGAAGTCTAGCACAGCAGGTTGGAAACCACAACTATATAGTAGTGTGCCAGTTTATATCATTCTTTTATTTAAGAAAAAAATAATTTTCTAGTTTAAGAATTTATTAACCACAGAAATATATATTCAACCAGCTGAAGCCAAGAACATTCTTTTATATAATTATATAACCTTAAAAATATGCATACACACTTGCACATACATATGTACATACATAAAAAGTTAAAGAAAAGATTGAGAAAAAAACAAAACCCTCCCCTATTATTTGGGAGCCTTGTAGGTGGGAATAGTTCCCTGAAACACTAAAATTGTGTCACTCTATTTACAGAAGTCACTAAACATTTATTCACATCACTGTGAACATGATATTGCCTGAAAACTGGAGAGAATTAGAAGGCAATACGGTTAGGAAAAACACTGCAATGAGAGTTAAAAGAGAGAGAAAGAAACAAAGTCGTCTTTTACTCTTTAACTTATTTTATTATTTATTTATTTATTTATTTATTCATTCATTTATTTTTGGAGACGGATTCTTGCTCTGTCACCTAGTCTGGAGTGCAGTGGCATGATCTTGGCTCACTGCAACCTCCACCTCCTGGGTTCAAGCAATTATCTTGCCTCAGCCTCCTGAGTAGCTGGAACTACAGGTGTGTGCCACCATGCCCAGCTAATGTTTTTGAATTTTTAGTAGAGATGGGGTTTCGCCATGTTAGCCAGCATGGTCTCCATCTCCTGATACTCCTATAACTTTTAAAGTCACTAGTTGTTTAGAGTAAGGGAGCGTCTTTAACATATGTTATCTTTCTCTGTAAAATAAAGGAATTAGAATATAACACATGAGATCCTTTTAATATTTAGCATTTTAAGACTCTCTGGATTAAAAATAAACTATACTCTTTAAATTATCTGTTGGATGGGATACTGAAGAAAGCAAACATTGAATACATGAGAGAGGAAAATAGTAAATTTTACTTACTTATAAAACCTTGCCTCTTCAATCATTCCAAGCTGGTTTAATAATTTAAATGAAAAAAAGCCATCCATCACAGTTTTATCCGGAACAGTTATACTGAGAATGAAATAATAGGCTACAAAATAAAAATGTAGAATGCAACTCACATTATTTTTTAATTTTTTGGTTTTGGTACATATTCAAATATATATATATGTGTGTCTGTGTGTGTGTATAAATATGTGTGTGTATGTATAGATAGATATATAATCTAGGCTCATATTACATATGCAAATAATATTATTGAGTGGACTCATTTGGTAAATGGGTAATATATTTTACCTTTTGTTTGTCAATTTTTGATTACTCTTAAACATGAGAGATGAAAAAGCCTGCTAGCCAGTGATGGTTATGGTGAAGTATTGAACAAATAGCTCCTAAATACTAGCTGGTCTGAAAACCAAAACTTTCCAGAAATTAGGCCAATTAAGCAACTTTTACTTTTCAATAGCAGATCTAAGGTAAATATGATAAGATTTCTTAATTATCTGATTAATAGTACCAGCTATTGCTTGCCAAACGTAATTCCTAATTCCACTGGCTGTTCAAGAATGACTGTGAAATATATACATATATAAGGTAAGTTCATAGCAGTTCTTATTCAAATTGCCTTTACTAAACTTTGGTAGAGTATGTGTTTCACAGGCAAGGATGCTGAACTCAATTCTATATGTTGCCAGGCCTGTACAGGAAATTTTGACTATGGGAGTTATCCCAAGTTTGGTGCACCCACCTCCTAGAACACAATGGATTTATAATTGGATTTTCCCCATTTCTGACACAAGAGGTATAAATAAGCACTTCTCACTTTGAAGTTACTTCACAGCCTTAGGCAAGGTACTTTGATTCACCTTGCCCACAAAAATGGGCATTCAGGCTTGCTCAGATGATTTCTGACAGCATAGAATATTGAGATGTTACAGATTAAGCCACCCTCCCACTATAAGTACATGAAAATGCTACGTGTACAATCCATGTTTCAATATGCAACCAACTCAGAAGAAGGAAGGGGAAGTGTCAGAAAGCAGAAACAAAGAGAAATTAGCACCAAGGCCAGAAGAACTGAAGCCCTGGACCCCTCTGGGACTTCAGAGCCTGTTGTGGCACAAAGATGGAGGCTGAACTGTCAACCTCCATGCAGGAACAGGAGACATGATGTTAAAGGACAAAGCTGAAATGGAGCTCCCTGCACAGAGCCATGAACCTTATAATTGAAATTCCCTGACCCACCATTGAAAGAGGAACTAGGAAAATTCTTCCTACTTTTTCAGTGTGAGTCTTAGGTGAAAACATAAATTGTTTCTTGAGATTAAATAAAACTCCAGGAAACATGAAATTTAAGTTTACACTAGTTACACGTTAAAAGACTCCCACAAATTTACATTAAAATGCTTCAGGATTGTGGTAATATGGTTCTGAAAAAAGAAAATCTGACTTGCTCTGAAGGGGAACTTTGAAGAAGAGCTGATTTCTGAGAGTTTTCTATATCAAAGATAGACATGAATCTCTATTTTGAAATAGCACAAATAGTTTTTTTAAATTAATTTTTAATCCAGACTCGAACAAACCACTGAGACTGGAAAATAACAATATAAAAAAATAAATCAATGAATACATTCAGTCTGATGAAATGATAGATTATCTTCATGGAAAAATTAGATTGAAGATAAATGAAAAAAATGTATCTGAAAACAAGAGAATTCATATTTTCAATGTGCTGAGCATATAAACTTTCAATATAGAATTCTGTCCTAAACTATCTTTTCATTCCTCAGTGAGGGAAGGATAAGGACATTTTCAGGAAAGGCAGAAAAAAAAAAAAAAGAAAAGAAAAAAGAAAAGAAAAAGAAAAAGACTGAGAGAGACTACTATTGAAAAGCTACTACTAGGATATACCTCGGCAAGAAAATAGTTAAACCCGGAAGGAAGGAGTTGAATGAGAGGATAAGACAAAACGTAGACAACTAAAATTGGTAAATATAAGGAAGTATTTGATGATACTATTTATAATTAATATGTATTATTAAATGAGAAATGGAAGTAAAATACTACAGGATATAATATTGAAGATAGAAAAGAAGAAAAAAGATTCAAAGGCTCTATGAGATAACTTGTAGCTGTGACAGAGTCCGATAAAAGTTTGTGAAGCAAGATCTATATTCATGTATAAATGCATAAAAAGCAAAAAAAATAAGTTAGTTACTGAGAAAATATGATAGCCCCGAAAGTTTTACGCAACTAAAAATCATAGCCTTAGACTATCTAAAGCCAACACCTAACAGGGGAACTGCCTGCTAAAATAAAAGATTTAAATAGAACTCAGATTTTGACACAAGAGATACAATGTCCAGGATATGATCAAAAATTGCCCAAAATACCAAGAACAAAGAAAATCATAACATTGTTAAGAAAATTACCTGATGCTAACCCTGAGATAAATTCAATGCTGAGATTATCTGACATTTATTTTAAAGGAGCCATCACAATAATGATTCAAAGTTAACATGTCTCTTGAAAAAATGAGAAAAGAATTAAAACCTCAGCAAAGAAAAAAAAGTTGCAAAAGAAAAAATGAAATTACAGAAGCAAAGGTGGCTCCATCGTGCAATGAATAGTGCATTGGACTTCTAAAATTACAGAAACAAAAAATACAATTGCAGATACAAAACTCACAGGATATACTCAATAGTGAGTGGAGATAATAAAAGAAAAAATCGGTGAACTTGAGGGCCAATCAATCTTAATGACAGAGAGAAAAAGATGGAGAAAAATAAATGAACAAAGCCTCAGGGATCTGTGGGACTATAATAAAAGATGTAATATTTGTGCTATTAGAGTGTCAGAAAGAGAAGAGAGTGATGGCTGAAAACTTTCTAAATTTGGTGAAAAAAAAAAACACCACAGATTGAAAAAGCTAAGTGAACCTGAAATATAATAAACCTCATGAAATTCTAACCAAGACACATCATAATAAAACTGCAAAAGTAAAAACAAAGAAATAAAAGTCTTGAAAGCAGCCAGAAGAAAATGATGCATTACCTACAGAACACCAATTTGAATCATATGGATTTCACATCTGAAAGTCATAGAGGTCAAAAGAAAATATTACATTTTTCAAGTGCTGAAAGAAAATAACTGCCAACCTCAAATCTTACATCCAACAAAACTGTCCTTTGAGAATGAAGGGGAAACAGAGACATTCTCAGACAAAGAAACAGTAAAAAACAAATCTTACTAGCAGAATTATCCTTAGAGATTTTCAGAAGTAATTTCTTCATACAGATAGGAATTGCTGAAATAATCATGAATCATTATGAAGAAAGAATGAACAATGGGAAAAGAATAAATATGGGTACATACAATAGGTTTTTTTCTCATTGATTTTGTAAATGTTAAGGAATGAAACAAAAACTATTACACAATCTGATATTCAAAATCATGATAATTAAAAGCGGGGAATGTAAACGGGCCTACATGGAAGTGAGGTTTCCACATTTTACTTGAAATGGTTAAATGTTGGAATCGCTAAACAGTGATAAATAATGTATGCATATTGTAATTGTTGTAGGCCTCCCCAAATATATCCTTGTCCTAATCCCTGGAACCTACAAGTATGTTATCTTATATAGCAAAGGATAATTAAGATTGCAAATAAAATTAGAGTTGCTAACCAGCTGTTCTTAAAATAGTGATATTATATTGAATTACCCAGGTGAACCCAATGTAATCACAAGGGGCCTTAAAAGAGGAAGAGGAAGACAAAAGAAGAGAATCAGAAAAAGAGATATGGTGCCGAAGAAGGGTCAAAATGATATAACATGAAGACTCAGTCCACTTACGTGAATGAAAAGGCCACAAGCCAAGGAATGCGAACGATTTCTAGAGCTGGAAAAGTTAATAAAGTATATTCTCCCCTGAGCCTCCAGAAAGGAATGCACCTGCTAACACCTTGACTTTAGCACAGTTCCATCTGTATTAGACTTCTGGACTACCGAACTTTAAGATAATACATTTGTGTTGTTTTAAGCCACCAAATTTGTGGTAATTTGTTAGGGTCATTATAGGAAATCAATATACATTTTGATGCAAATGATGTGATATAGCTATAAAAAACATGTACAAGTGGACAAGTGGCTTCTAAATTAGAAATGAGAAGAAGCTGGGAGAATTGTTAGGAACATAATAGGAAAACCTAGATTTCCTTGAATAAACTGTTAGCAGAAATGTACTAGTAAGGACACAGGAGGAAATAAGGAACATGGCAGAGAAAATCCACATTGCAAAAAGGCTGTTGGTGAGAAATATGGATGTCTAATGGAATGAATAAGGATGTTAATCTTGCTGTTGTTGAGGACTCAGATGGAAATTAGAAATATATTATTGGAAACTGGTAGAAAAAGAATCCTCACTATATCATGGCAGGTAGCTTAGTGGAATCACATACTGCAATTTATGTGGGAAGCAGAAATTATAAATGAAGAAATCGGAAATTGAACCAAGGGGATTTATAAGTCAGGGGTTGAAAGTGTGGCCAGATTTCTCCTTGGTGCTCATCATGAATTGTGTGAGGAAAGACAGAAATTGAGATGAAACTGTTAAATTAAAAAGAATCCTGACTTGCTAATTTGGGAAATCCTCAGCCTAGCGAGTTTACTAAAGACGCCCAAGTTAAGAAATTTATTATTGGGAAATGAAGCTCTAGAGAAAAAGCTGAGGGTATAGCTGGGACAACCTTTTCCCTCAGAAAGATTTTTAAAATCAGAGCATTTAGTCACACAAAAGGGCCTTTGAAAATATTAGGCATATAACTCACAGATTCCTTTAGCCATCTCAGCAGAGGCCAATAATAGAGGCAGGATCATCTAGAAACGATAATGAGGAGTCTCTTTTTTAATAGAATGACTCTCTGTGACATATACAGAGATCTACCAGACTTTGGTGAAGGTTATAGTGGTATAAATAGTGCCAACTTGGACTACAAGCAACAGAGTATAAAATGAGGGAAAGTTTTGAGGCCTGGAAAATTTCTACAAACAAGAAGCAAGATGAAAAAACTACTCAGATGCAAGCATATGCTACCATTTATACATTTAAAGAAGAAGGGGCTGAAAGAGAGAGAGAAGGACTCTAAGAGATCAACATGTGAAGCCATGAACCCAGGGAGCAGAGCCAAGAACCACAGGGAATTATTCCCAGGTCTTTAAATCAAATGGAGCTTGCTTGGCTGAATTTAAAAATTGCATGGAGTGTTGACTCTATTTTTCTTCTACTTTTCTTCTCTTTGAACAAGCATGCCTATAACTGGTATCGTAGCCCTGTCTCATCATTGTATTTGAGGAGGAGGTAACTTGATTCCTGAGATTCACAGGTTCACAGATGAAGAAAAATTATGTCCAAGTACTTATATCCACAGCTTTAGCCAAATCTGATTTAGATGAATTAGACAACAAGATTTAGAACTTTGGACCTGTTGAGTTTAGAGGAGATTTTTTTACTTTAAGTTGATGCTGTAATGACTTGATGATGTCTGAGATCAGCCAACAAAATATTATTTTATACCCAAAAATGCAACTGGGTATTGCCAGTACCTATGAAGCACGAGCCTAAAGAAATCAATCCTTTACTACTAAAAATACCTCAGGACATTGTTAAAAAATTTATACAGAGTTTGATTTCTAGCCATAATAAAATTAAACTAAAGATCAGTAACAGAAAGACAAAAGGAAAATTTCTAAACAGTGAAAATTAAACAGCATGCTTATAAACAACCCATGGTCAAAGAAGAGTTCTCTAAAAAATACATAGAACAAAATAAAAAAGATACAATATATCAAAACACATAAGACACAGCTCAAACAGTACAAGAGGAAATTTCATAGACTAAATGATTACATTAGAAATGGAGAAATATCTGAGGCCAATAGTTTGTTTCTGCCTCAAGAAAATAGAAAAAGAACAAAATAAACCCAAATAGAGTAGAAGAAAAGATGTGTGTGTAGAAATATATATATATGTGTGTGTGTAGAAATATATATATATATATATAGAGAGAGAGAGAGAGAGAGAGAGAGAACCAGAA